TTTCCTTTTTTTTTTTTTTTTTTTTTTTTTTTTTTTTTTCGTAGCTAAATTAAATTCGATCAAGTGAAAGAACAAGCATTTTGGAAAAGCTTGTCACGGAAAACGAATTTCAACGAAATGTTAAATAAATGAAGCAAAAAACGGTTGTGCATTTTGCGGTTAGGTGGACTCGAGGTAACTTGACCAAGAATGCATCGAACACGGAACAACAATTACTCGCTTTTACTCGGGTTTCAGGATTTTAATTTAGCAGTTAGGAACAAGAAACGAGAGTAGAATTATGATAAAACCTTGCCGTTACTGGTTAAGTTTCCCGCAATCGTGCACACTAATTTCTAATGCAGATACGTGCGTTTGTATGTTGCAGGTGACGTACGCCGAACGGGCCAGTATTCATGCCAGTATGCCAATCAGATGCCAGTAGAGAGCCAGTATCTGTATCTGTCGCCACCGATAGCCAATTAATAAGTTACTTAGATAGTTAAATTAATAGGCAATACAAAAGAAAAAGAAAAAAAAAAAAAAGAAAAAGAAAAAAAAACGTCAACGTTTTTTTGAATAATTGTTGTTAGAAGGCGTCGTTCAATAAGCGTGACAGATATATCACGTGTATTAATCATACACGTATTCTACATATATCGATATATAAATATAAATATATACGTAACATAAAAAAATATATATATATATATATATATATATAATATAATCGAGGAGGAGCAATAAGTGTCGGAATCGTGTGAGCAATTATTTTATTCTCATCGTACTTTTTTTTCTCTCTCTTCCCCTCCTTTCCTCTCTTCCCTCCCCGCCCCCTCTCTTCTTCGATCGATAATTTTCTCCGCTCGTTGATCGGTTTTCTTTTTTTGAATTTATCGGTGACCGCGTATGATTCCCTGCGGAGAGTATATACATAAGATTGGACAGAGAGTGCAATCGAGTTGTGATTATCGAAGTGGACTGACCGATCGATTTCTCGGCTGTGAAGTGAATTAATATCCCAGGAAAACGATTGAAAACGGAGAAAGGAAGTGAGCAGCGAGTACACACAACGGGCGAGCAACGGGTGGCTGGAAACGGTGACTTACATCGAGAGCGCCAACCTGCAATCAAGGTTCATGGTTTTCATGGTGAGTCACCGTATCTATCTGTTTCTAACTAATTTTAATGCGGTTTTTACGCCGTCCTCCTCCCCTTCCTCCCTCTCTTCCAGTTCTTATTTACCTCATCGTTTTATCACGGTCTTTTTTACGACCGTGATGCGCATTTCGTTGGTGAGACGAATAGAAAAGAAAGGAAATTTTCTTTTTTTTTTTTTTCTTTCTTTCTTAACTTTCTTTCTTAGATATAAAGCATTTTTACGAAGGAAATTTATGAAATTTTAAGCGGCAAATTTTCGTTGACATTTTTTACGCTTGATTTCTCCTCGCTTTTTTTCTTCTTCATCCTTTTCTTCGTCCTCGTCTCTTCCCTTTCTTTTTCTTTTTCTTTCTCTTTTTTTTTCTTTTCACTGCTCTCGATTACGGATCGACGAGCGGACCCGTTATAAGTAACGCGATTTTATGCAAAATTTCCCCCATGACGGGTTGCCGCAACTTCCAGCGAGATATATAGCACGTGTCACGTGCAATTTGCATAATGCGACATCGACACTTCCTCCCATGTATCGGAACGTTATCTTTATACGCCGTCGTATCGTTTCATATCGCGGATTATCGGGCGCGCGGTTTAAACGTAACATCCGATAATAGCGAATTCGGGGAATCGAAACTGTCCCATAAATATCGATAAACAAGGACTACCGAAAGTATCGAAAACTTCCGCCTCCTGTAAAATTTATCGCAATTTTATCGCGACTTCGTGATAATATTCAATGGGCATAATCATTCCAGATAAAGGCTGGTTCGACAAATCGAAATTTATCCTGTAAATATATATATATATATATATAAACTTTCTCAAATCTTTACCCATCGTACATCAACCCACCGAATTGGGAACCAATTAATTTGAATTACCTACCCGAGAATTTTATGCTTTTTTTTTTTTTCTCTCCTCTTCATTAACAGATTTCGAGGAATTTATTTTTCTCGATATCCCGGTTTAATTCGACGTGGAATCGTTACCCGACTTACTAATTGAGTTTATTTCGTTTCATTATTCGCCCCTAAATTCTTCTCATGATTGGGCCGGGAATATCTTAATGCACGGCGGTCCTCCGCATAGCCGCGTTACGCAAATTAGGAGCATAACTTTGCTTATATCCCGTAACGTGGCCGGCTAATTAAGAAAAGCGTCGGATAAGCGGCCGTATCGGCCGATTCGATTCGTTCGATTTCTCCCGTGGTTATGCCATTCCGTTTTGTTGCACGGATATTTGGGGGAGTTGTAAGAGGAGACCAGTCGAGGGACCAGAGAAGAGAAGAGAAGAGAGAGAGAGAGAGAGAGAGAGATCGGCGGGTTACGGGTCAGCCACGGTGGGGCATTAATAATCGTTTACAATCTTTAAAGCAGGGTGTGGCGAGTACGTTAACCCTTTCCTCCCTCTTCTTCCTCTTCTTCTGTTCCTCCTCCGCTCCGGCTTCCTCCTCTGCTTCTTCTCTCTCTCTCTTCCTCTCTTTCTCTCCTCTCCTTGCCCTCTTCTCGTGATCGTCCGTGGCGCGGACGGACGGACAAAACAGGAGGAAAAAGTGCTGGCTCGCCTTCGTAAACCAGTTGGACGTATATATATCGTGAAAAAAGGATAATCAATGGCGAAAGGGTACACGCGCTCGATCTGTAGTCGTTTTATCGTCATGACGATTCCAGCATCGGGGAGGGAGGGAAGGGAGGGAGCAAGGATTTATTTCTCGATCATTGAAAATGCGTTGCGCACCCTCCTTCGATTTACAAATCGATACCGGCCGATACTTCTCCTCGTCTTTTCCAAATACGCGAATTTTCGATATTGTAAATTGGATATTGTAAACGAGTTCGAGGCAGAGAGAGAGAGAGAAGAAGAATTTCTTTGTCTCGGACGTTTGGATGGTGACTTTGAAAATAGAGGGAGGGGCGAGGATTAAAACTGAGAAATTAACATCGGGAAACTCGACAAACCGGTATAAGCCTGTTTAATTTCGTCGCTCGCACCTCTCGACCCTTTTTCGAATAAACATTCCTTGGCAAGGAAGTAAACAAGTTTATCTTACGAATCGAATATTTATTTAATCGCGCACAGTGTCGGTACGGATTTATGAGAATTTCGTCTCGCGGAACGGAACGGAACTTGTTCGTTCGCACGCGTGTTTTCACCGAAACCCTTCGCGGACTATTATCAGATTGGCGCGTTAGAAACCTCCGTCCGGCGGCCGTCTCGCGTCCTATCTTAATGAGTCTCAACTTGCTCGAGACCTTGATGGAGAGAGAGAAAGA